TTACAGGAATCAAGTAGACGTGGTTGTAATCATGCTATAAATCCGCCTGTGGCTCGTATCAATTCGCAGTACTTCTTCAAATCTAAGAGGCTTGATGCCATCCGATTCCATCAATGACTGTCAGGACCCTGCGGAGCCACCCAGGGCCTGCCAAGCCAGGAGGCTGGCCAGGGGCTAAGGGTCACGAGAGAATGTATATATAGGCTGCGGAGGGCCCCCCAAAGCTGCGGAGGGCCATAATTCAGATGTATTCCTATCCCATACCTATATTCTAACTGCCTGTGGAAGACCCCTTCACTCTGTTCTAAACAACGCTCTGACAATGACCCTGTCCGTCAGATGGTGAAGCGGAAGAAAGTAGCGTTGTCCCCCTTCTCGCGCTCGAGTTCTCGTTGCTCTTCTGTATACTCGTCGGGAGGACCATAGATCCGGTCGCGTCGTGCGTTCTCTCGCCGAAGATAGGCAGTCATACAGACGCAAAGAACAAGAGCGAGAACATAGAGACCAAGAAGACTACTAAGCCCCGGTAAGTGCCTCGGGCTATACTTTGGCAGAAACAGATACGACGAGATGATGCCGCTGATGTTACCGAATCCAACATGCATAGCAATACCAATCCCCCTCTTGAGGCCACCGCCGATGTTGTTGCCATTCCAAGCTACGCCCTGGGGGACGCTTGGATAGATGCCAGCAGCAGCAAAGAAGCAGCCGACGTATCTCACAGCCACGTTTTCCACAGCGGTGAGCATGATGAGGCCAATGATTCTGTAGATAATCAGCGACATTTCAACAAGCACAAAGCAAGAAAAAAAGATAGAAAAGAAAAGTTCTTACGCAACAAACATGAAGACTATCATAAAGACTCCACGTTGACCGAGCCTGTCGGCATACCACCCTGCCAAGACGCAGATGATACAGGCTACCACGAATGGCGGGACAGTCATCAGTTGAGCTGTGCGACTTGTATATCCAAGATCGCGAATGATGGTTGGCAAAAATAGTGAATACGAGTAGACCCCAGTGTAAACACAGATGGTTGTGACGACATGGACCCAAATCTTCCAGTCAGACAATGCGTGACGAACGTATTTCATGTCGAACTCGTTCGCAAGCGAGGATCGATCTTGTTGAAGACGTTCAAGTCCCACCTTCCGCTCGCTTTCGGTGAGGAACTTGGCTTTTTCAGGGTAGTCCTGCATAACCTTTACAGCGACGCACGCTGGTATTCCGTCAGAAAGCACTGCTCCGGTATAAGAAGAGGTGTACTGACCGACGAGAACTGTCGCTATGCCCTCAATGATGAATAGCCAACGCCAACCGGCAAGACCAGCAACACCACCCATTTCTAGAATTCCACGAGCCAAGAGCCCCCCGAAGGCACCAGCGAGCGTGGCAGCTGAGAAGAAGATTGCTAGTCGGAGACCACACTCGTGACGACGGTACCACATAGTGATGCTATGTTCGAAGAAGATTTCAGTTCCGATTTCCCGAGAGATGCAACCGGCAACACTTACAAGTAAGCAATGCCTGGAAAGAGACCGCCCTCAGCTAGACCAAGCATAGCCCGCGCAGCCAGAAGTCCTTCATAGCTCTGTACGATTCCCATTAGGGTACAGACTATGCCCCAGCAGAGCATGATGAATGGAATCCAGAGCCAGGGCGCGAATCTCTTCATTGCGATATTCGAAGGAATTTCGGCAATCACGTAAAAGGGGAAAAAGATGGCTAAGGCATTGTTGTACATGATTCCTGTCATATTGAGGTCGGCTTCAAGCGTGTCGAGTCGAGCATTACCGATATTGGTTCGATCGAGGAAAGAGAGCAGGTACAAGAGAGTGAGAAAGGGCAATAGGGTCCAGTCGATCTTCCTCATAAGCTTTTTATTGTTGACTGGCTCTTCGAGGCTTGAACACCCCGAGACGTTCCCACCTTGGTCAGAGGACTCGGCGAGCTCCACATTTTGATCCGATTTGTCCATGTTCAAGGGAGTTTCTGGCTGGCGTTAAAGGTATTTGTTGTTGGGGCAGAAAACATGTGAGGTAGTCAAGGTGTCGCGAGACACGTTGCCAGAAACTTGTCCGCTCGGCAACTGACTACATAAGGGTTTAAAACTATCATCGGTTCAAACGCCAGGCACTTCAGTGGCCTGGCACGGCGGTCTGAAAGCAAAGTTCCCGGACCGGCTGAGACAGGTTGGTAACTTGACATCATGTGGAACTTCCACTACTGTTGACCTGCTTCCTCATCCGGATTAGCATCCAAGCCGCATGGACCACCGGGTTCATCCTCGGACCGGCCGGCTTGGAGTGTCGACCTAGGGACCACTCACTTCGCGGGGTAATTGCTTTCGCTGGTCGGGGCACGCAATCTCTCATGATTCCAACAGCCGCATGATCTAGAAGAGATCCGTACGTCTCTTCGCAGCCTGGGCGTGAGGTTGATCGCGCTATCCGATCGAGTGGCCCACCCCCCGATTTATCAGCAGAGCGGAGATCAAACGCGGGGTTTGCAGTCGCCACACCTGCGGAGGACCATCTTGCCGGAAGGGGTGGGTTCCCTCTCCAAGACCAATACATCCGCCACGGACCGACTCATTATGATATTGTCCTAGAGAGAGAAACCTTTGAACATGGCAAACAGCAGCCGCAGCGAAAGCCCCGGCAGCGTTGCCGGTGCCGCTCCGGGGCCTGCGTACCGACCGATACGACGCATAAACCAGGCATGCATCGCATGCAGGTATGACCTCCCGAATTGAAAAGAAGTGCGTGCATCTTGCTGACTGGAGACCTATCTTCCAGAAGGAAGAAGTCTCGGTGCACAGGTGGTCACCCATGCCGGAGCTGTAGACGACTATCGGAACCGTGCCAATATCCTGCTCCCGGCGCCCCTCGGGCGCGGACATCGTCGCGCCTACCAAACGATCCATCGTCGCAGATTTCCGAGACATCGGAACGTCCTGTGAGCATGTCCCGTTTCTCGGTTTGACTCGGTCAGCTGCTGACGTCTTCAGCTCGCTGTCGCCGACAGACTGAGCGTGCTCGAGTCAGCACTGGATGGCATAGCTCAGCAACTTGGCCATTTGACGGAGCTCACCAGGCAGATATGTGCTTCTGGTGGCGGAGGCTTCTCGGTCGCAGGCGGACCCATCATGACTGCAGGTGCCATGAGCGAGAGGAGCCTCGATCACTCGTCGCCTGGGTCGGAAGTCACGAGAACCATCGCGGCGAGACAAGCTGAATATGGCAGTTATAACGACCCTTTCCACCCGCAGCATTGGACCGTGTAAGAGCAACGTCTCGCCCCTCAGCACAGAGGCTAAACAGTACCAGCAAGATGAAACATCTCATACCCGACAATGTTATGAGGGCAGTCTTTCGGAATTACTTTCAGTACGCACACAACCAGCCGTATTCGTTCTTTCATGAGAGCAAATTCTGGGAAAAGCTTGACGGTGGCAGTTGGCCTGATCACCTGCTCCTCGCCGTGCTTGCCCACGCCGTGCGATTCTCGGAGGATCAATTCTTCAGGGGTCGTACCAAGCAAATGGCTCAACTCTTCGCGAATATGGCGTGGAAGGCAATTGTCAATCTCTACTTCCATGAGCGAGGAGACGCAGATCTTGCCACGGTACAAACAATCACGTTATTGTCCATCTATGATTTTACCGGTACGTTTCCGAACATTGCCTGTATTCCCTTCGTCTGACGCTCTACTAGCTGGTCATGATCGGCATGACTCGGCCTGGGTGAAGATTGGGCTCGCCGTCCGCGTGGCCCAGGACCTCCGCCTCATGATGAATGACCAAACAACCCTCGACAACGCGGAGAAGGAGGAGAGACGGCGAGTATTCTGGTCGGTATACATCCTGGACAGACTTGCGTCTTGCGCCAGAGCAAGACCGCCTGCGGTGCTTGAAGCGAGCTGTCACCTGTCCCTTCCATGTGAAGAACATCTCTGGAGAGCCGGCTTTCCTTCAAATGGCTACAAGCTCGAGGATGTCGCTCAGAACAGGCTCCTGGTTGGCCAGCATCCCGGCCACCCAGCCCTTGTCGTGGCCATGACATCTATCCTCGGCCGATGCACACAATGCATGATGCAGAATGTGAGTGTCCGCCCTCGCCAAGCTCCGTGGGACGGCAGCTCGGACTATGCCACAATATCATCCGAACTACTTACCTGCGAGGGGTACTTTGAGCAACCCATTGAGGAAGCACTCGCACTTTACTGTACTGGCAGCGAATCTGATATTGATGCTGCACTGGCTGGACCTCTTGTTTTCTCGCATGTCCTCTTCATGCTGAGTCATTGCATCTTAAGTCAGCCCTTCCTCTTATGTGAGCGGGTGAGATCCAGCCTAGGGAAACCCCCGAGCACTTTCTTGTCTCGCGCCTTGGACAACGGATACGAATATGCCAAGAGAATCACGCATTTAATCCGGGATGCGAAGCTAGCTGGTAACGCCGCCCACGGGTCTTTCTACGGGTATTGTACATTAATGGCAAGCACCATACACGCAATAGGTCTCTTCTCTGCCCGAGAAACAGTCCGAGAAGAATCTGCCGCGTGCCTTTCGATTTGCCGCGAGATTCTCGACGACCTATCGCCATACTGGGAGAGCTGTCAGTCAATGGTAGGTTCACACCTGATAAACTCGAAGACCCGTTCCTGATGGTTTACAGGTTCACGCTCTCAAGAAATTGTCAAAACGAGCCCATCGCTATGCTCGATTGAATAATCCTGCCAGCCTTGCTGAGCCCTTGCGACAGGCTGACTGTGATCTCATGTGGTCTATCTTGGATTACAGCACCTGCTCGAGTGCACCCGACGGATTTTGGTCTGCCGAAACTAGACCACCATCTCCTACATCTTGGGCTCCATCGGCAGCTGACGTGCATGCCATGCAGCAGGAGGGCCTGGGCCATTTTTTCCCAGCTGTGACAGATCCTGTTCTTGATGGTGAACCTTCGCGGGAAGGGATGCAACAAGACACGCTCTTGATGTTAGATTTGCTGGGTTAGTCACAAGTTGTTCAGCCACACTACTTATATCTATGGCTTTCATGGCGTTGTGTTCCTGCCTAGATCTTTGCTTTGGTTTGTCCACTCCGTTCCCTCTCACGTAACTTGGCTCGCTGCACCTTTCCACTCACAGTTCGTGGGAAGAAGTCCTTGCCCACAAATTCTATCCTGCGAGGATACTTGTAAGGTGCCGCTGTCTCTTTGCAATGGTCTTGAATCTTCTTGGCCAGCGCCTCAAGATCGTCATTCTTCGCAGCATCTGTAAGGACGATGAATGCCTTGACAACATCACCCCGTTCCGCACTTGGTGATGCAATCACGATAGACTCTAAAACAGCAGGATGCTCCTGGAGCACTGCCTCGACCTCGGAAGGCCCTAGAGCCTGTATTAGCAAGCTGTCTCAATGTAATGAACTAAAGACTCACCAATTCGGTATCCGGCGGAGTTGATAACATCATCTGCACGGCCGATGAACCAGAAGTAACCTTCGCCGTCACGTTTAGCTCTATCACCTGTAAGGTACCATTGGCGGAGTTTCCTTCCTTCCTTGGGATGGCTTTCTCGCTTCAGCTTGATACACGTTGTACCGTCAGCTTGGAGATAGCCGTCGTAGATACCCTTGAGCGGTATGCCATCTATGTCGTGTGTCGCCACGGCAATATCACCCTCTTCGCCAGCGTCACACTCATCGCCATTGTTATCCACGACACACAACTGAGTGCCAGGAGTAGGCAGGCCCATGGAACCCAGCTTGACTTTGTTCCCCGGAAAGTTGCCACACAGCAATGTTGTTTCGGTTTGACCATAGCCTATGAAGAGTTCCCGTTAGTCGTGTCTCCTTCAGATCGGCCTGTGCCATTTCATAGCTCACCATCTTTGATTTCAATGCCTGTCATGGATGCCCATGTTCTGACGAGCTCGCCCTCGAGCGCCTCTCCGGCCGCTACACAATGTTCCAACTGCAACGGCGGAAGATCTTGGATCAGTGCTCGAATTTCCGGCAGCACTAGCCGACGGAAGGCCGTTGGAGGCGCACACAACGTTGTGATAGGGTACTTGTGCAAGGTTTCTACGAGACCTTGAGGCGAGAAGGCTCCCTGCATCTTTTGCACAAAGAGTGCAGCACCAGTATTCCAGGCCGCAAACCAAGCCCTAACAGGCAAGTCAGTGTTGTTGGAAATTGATCACATTTAGTAGCCAGACTTACCAAGCTGCCTTGGCCCATCCCTGCTCGGCCAACGACCAGTAAAGCTTGCCAGGTCCAAGCAGAAGCCAAGCTTGACCAGTTGGTACATGACCTAGGGATGTCAGGTGAGTACTTGAAGCAGCTCGTGGCCCAACAAGGGCTACGTACCTAAGGGGTAAAGGTGGTTATGGACGACCATTTTTGGTGGACCGGTAGTCCCAGAGGTAAAGAACAGGAAGGCGGAGTCTGTAGACTTGGTATGGTCTCCCAAGTATCGGGCATCTGGATCATAGGTTCCGATCAACTCATCATACTGCGCCACCCCCGGCACGGGTAGTCCTTCGGCTTGCAGTATAGTCTTCATGGAAGGACAACTGTCGCGTACGCGTAGAAACTTTGTAATAGTTTCTGTGTCGCCGACAAATGCAGCAGCTTTTGAAGCTTGCGCACGGAAAGCCATGTCTTTGTGGGTGGCTAAAGTGGTGCATGGCGATACAACGATGCCGGCTCGCAGTGCTCCCGTTGCTATTTCCCACCTGTCTACTGTCAGCCACTGCTATCAGGGTTACGAACAGGCTTCCTACCATGCTGGGACTCGCGGCAGAAGTATCATCAAAACGTCACCTTTCTGGATGCCGAGATCGTTGAGCAGCTGTGCCGAGGAATGCGACTTTTGAGAAAAGTAGCGAAATGATAAGTCCAGAGTTCGAGACTCATCATCCGTCCACAGCATGGCCCGGCGGTCTGGTGTGGATAGCGCCTGCGCATCTACGACATCGATGGCGAAATTCGAATTCGTCAGGGGCCCAAGGGGGCCTGCGATCTCGTTCGCTGCCATATTGTGCTGTTAATGTGCGTTGTGTGCAGGAGGGATTAAGACGGGTTTATTGAAAAGAGAATATAGACGCGGCTATCCTGGCCTGCCAACAATCGTTGTTCAGGTCCATGTGGTACATATAATTAGTATGAAACCGCGACAGGTTGGGTGGGACAGTCGCGGTCCGGAGGTCCGATTAGTAGTTAGCCGGCCATGAAATCCTCAGAATCCGGACCGGCGCAGGATCAGGCCCCTAGGCCGGGCACCGGAATGTCACCAATGAGAGATCATACATGCGACCACCTGACTGCCTCTGTCAGTGTACTTGTTCAACTGCGGCTATTGTCTCGCGCACCGGATTATTGCGAATCGACCTTATTCATGGTGCTGGGTCCGTCCGGCTTCGAGGCAGACGCCTATGATAGGACTAATGAAAATCACCCCAGTAATTTGACAAAAGCATGTCGTTCTCTCGTTCGGCTTAGGAAGGACCGATGTTCAAAGTCATTCAGTATTCATTACCAGTCTATCCTGCGAAGCACGTCAAGCTGCGCCCAGCAAGGTGTGTAAGTTGGGTATCAACATGATGAACAGACGCCGCGCCAGCCCAGTAGCAAGTCAGATGAGTCGTTAGAGTCGTCTTAAGCCCGTCCACCCCTCCGTCCGCGCCCACCTCCACCGCCGCCGCGCCCACCTCCACCACCGCCGCGGCCCTGCTTCGGAGGGTCTGGAACAACAACGAGTCCGCGCGTACCACGCAGGCCCATCTTGCCGGCGGTCGTCTTGGCGATAGCGGGCGTTTCGGGGCACCCGAGGCCATCACGGGCATAGATGTTACCCTGGGCAACAAGCTCCTCCTTGTCCCATTTCAGAGCCTTCATGTGATTGTTGTAATAACCGAGCCAAGCCTGGTAGATCTTGGCCTTCTCGCCCTCTTCCATAGTATCAATGATGGCCGATACCTCGGCAGCAGACGAGGTATCGGCGTCGTGCGGCACAAAGGTGATTTCTTTGAGTGTCCACTTGGGAAACCATGCTTCAGCCTCGGAGACGATGAAGATGCCGCGACCCTCAGCACTAGCGCGGGCAGTACGGCCGAGACGATGTATGTAGCTCTGCTTATCTGCGGGGATGCCAACCTGGAAGACGGTAGTAACACCGGGAAAGTCCATACCGCGAGCGACTACATCGGTGGCGACAAGAATAGCGGAGCGTGAATCGCGATAGTCGTTCGTCACCTTGGTGCGCTTGTTCTGGGAGATGCGTGAGTGCAGGATCGAGACTGGCGGCAAGCCGGCAATCTTCTCGAGCACGAAACCGTAAAGATCGGCAAGGGCGGCTGTTGGAGCGAAGAGAATGGCCTTGAATGCCTCATGCTGGCGAGCCTCCTCACGGATGGAGCCAACCATGGCGGCAGAGACGGATGAGAAGTAGGGAACCTTGATGAGCAGTTGAGGTACACGCTGATGGGTGTTGATCTCGCCGGCGGGGATGGTCGAAATGAACTTGTAACCGGGAGACAGAACCAGGCCAGCAACCTGCTCGACGTGTGGGGCGATGGTCGCGGAGAAGAGCATACCCTGACGGTTGGTTGCCTTCTTGTCAGGCAGCTGGCCAACGATGTCGCGAAGAGCCTTCATGAATCCCATATCCAACAGACGATCAGCCTCATCGAGGACAAGAGTATCAAGATGACGCAAGGCCCAGAGCACATTCTCATTAGACATGTGGTCGAAGAGGCGACCAGGGGTGGCGATGAGGATGTCGCAGCCGCCGAGGATAGCTCTCTCTTCACGATCCTTGTTGGTGCCACCGATGGCAATGCAGACACGGTGTTTCGGCAGGCGTTGGAGCAGGTTGGTAGCCTCTTTGGCAATCTGCATAGCAAGCTCGCGCGTAGGCGAGATGACGAGCAGGGAAATACCGGTATCAGCGCCACGGTTCTGCGTGATCATGGTCTGTAGGGCGGGTAGTAGAAAGGCGATTGTCTTGCCGGTACCAGTCTTGGCCTGAACCAGGCAGTCGCTTCGGTTGGGAGGGAGTAGTTCGTGAATGGTGGCCGCCTGAACGGGCATCATGTGGTCGAACTTGAGGTCCTCCGTGATGGTCTTGACAATGGTGGGGTGAACAACATTCAGATCCGCGAAGCGAGGGGTGTCCTGGGGGACAGGCTCGGTCAAAGGAGGTCTATCGTTGTCAACGGACATTTCTCTGCCTAGTTGAGGCTCGGAGTCTTCGGCTGAAGGCTGGATCGGCTGCTGAAATTCGTTGGGATGGTTGTTGTTGCTCCTGCCACCATGGCCATTTGTGTTTCTGGGACCGCGGGCCCGTTGGGGTCCACGTCCCCCGCGGCGGCGATCGCCACGGCGCTTCTGTTGGTCCATGGGAAAGTAGGAGGCTGGTTGGCAAGTGTTTTCAATTGATTGGGAGGAATTCGTCGTCGTCGTAATATTCGCGTCGATGGCTGTGCAATCGAAAAAGAGAGTAGAGGGAGGGAACAGATGCAACAGGCAGTGATCGCTTGTTCGTAAGGGAATCTGAAATTTCTCCCAAACAAAAAAAAGCCCATATCTGACTTGCTGACGTACCTACTGCTGATTGGGCTACCTCAGGATGCTTCTGGACCCTTGGCTCGTGCACTGGGCGTAGCAGTGGGGATGGGGTCCACTGGAACTAAGGAACCAAAGCAGACGCCTGCGACTACGAGGGTCCAAGCGCGCGCGACAGTATATTCCAACATCGTCGAGTCGATTCTTGCCACTGAAAACAACTCGGTGCTCCAGGCGCGCTGCCGTACATCACCCCCTCCTGGGACTCTCCTGGGCTCCCGATACACCTTCTCAATGTAGATAGCCATACAAGTTCGTGGCACCAAAAATGTTCACGCCAGTCCGCGTGACATACAACTAACCAAGGTAAGGTAGGTGGGTAGGAAGCGTGAGATGGATCAACTGGCACGCGTCTGAATTGTGGGCTTATTATCTCGACCTTCCCGAAAAGCGCCCTATTGGCATATGATCTATCAGAGGAAGCAACGCAATGGCACGGCGCGACGGAGTCACGTCGAGAAGCCCCGCACAGTTGATCTCACGGCTGGATTCGCTGCGTGAAGACGTTGTACCTAAGCCCACGCCTTGAAGAACCGAGATGCCTGTGCAAAGGCCTCTTCCTTGGCAAACTTCTGCTGGGGTTCGGAGACATTTGCACGGACCGCGAAGCCGTGCCTGACGCCACTATACAGGGACGCCGCGAAGCCATGGCCAAGGTCGCCCAGAATGATATTCGTCTCGGTTTGCTGAGCCAAGGTGAAAGCCGGATCGTTCTCTGCCCAATGTCAGTATAGAGCAGGAGATTCGGGGCAAGGAAAATGGGAGCGGTCTGCCTTACGGGCATTAGCGAGGCCGAGTGGCTGTTGGACTGCCCTGACCTCTTCCGTGGTGACAGCTGTTGGATGGGCGGCAAATCCAGCGTTCACTGCGTGCTGGCCATTGAGCACGCGAATGGCATACCGTCCGCCATAGCAGTATCCCGAAGCTGCAATCTTCTTGACTTTGAGCTTATCCTGGAGAAAGGAAATGGCAATGTCGACAATCGGATCTGTGACAGCGGGAGGATGTTCGCCGAGGAACTTGGTCACGTTGAAATTAGGGTCACCCAGGACGGCTGGTGAACCATCGAAGAGATCGGGAGCTACAGTCACGAACCCCTCACGAGCGAAGCCGTCAACGAGACTGCAACGGTTCAGTGGTCGTTCAACAAGAGGGGGCTGGATGACGCTAACAGTTTGTTCTCGGCTGCCTGGATACCAGTGATGTCTGTCAGGAACAAGACAGCGGCAGCGGCGCTCTTTCCACGGTGTTTTGCACTGGGCGTTGAAACGTAGAACTTGACTAGACAGTCACTTAATCATAGGTTCAACTTGTAGACAGTCGAGTGAAGCTTACCACCCTGGTATGTCACTTCCTTCCCAACTGGTTTACCGTTGTGTAATTCAGAGGCCGTGTCTGCCAAAGCCCCGTGAAGGACAGTGGCTACCATGCCCATGAGAATGGTGAGTGTGCGGAAGGACCTCATTCTTTTCTGTCGCTATCTATCGCCTGTGAAAATTCCCGTGACGGTAAATGAGCTTCCAGCGTAGGAGCTTGCCGCGGGAGGACCGGCCTATATGCATGCTTGAGTGAGAGCCAGCTTGCAGATTACAAATCTCCACCGAATCGGCCGGCAGTGTAAGTGCATCACTCTCTAGGGCCTGACTCAATGACGTCCTTAATCAATTCTGGAGATAATCTAAACCCCGCAACGGAAAATCACTTTCCGCGCTCGGCGCTTTTACCAGAAAAGGTACTTCCCGGGGTGGCTTCGCTGCGGCCACCATAGAAGATGCAACGGTACCTACCATGTGTGCTTCGGCAGATAGATAGAACACTGCGCGCTGCTCCTAAGATCCATGAAATTTAGCACATGCCAAGGCTCCCATGCCAAGTACGGAGTGGTTACCAAGCTACATATGCTGGCTGATGCCGCAGTGGGCGCAGGGTGGCGGCTTGGCCATTCTGGTTTTACTCACGCCATATTACACCATACGTTCGGGATGCTGGCTGACATTCCACAGGGCATGTGTTCATGGCTTAACGATGGCTACGTCATTGGTAATTAAATCCTCATGTTTCAAGCCAAGACATCCATAAGCTATAGCTTATAGGAAGACTCAAGTGCCAATACTCTGCCATACTCTCACCCGCAAAACGCATCAACGACAGTTCACCACTCAAGTCCAGCCGAGCGCTGTAAACAGCCCCCTGTGGTCCCCGTTCGCGCTAACTGGTCAGTTATTGACCCATCTGCCCTCCCTGGCGAGGAAAACAACGATATAAGTGATGTCTCGTGGGAGTCTTAATCTGTGGGTAGCAGATGTCTGTGCGATTGATGTTCCAAGATTTCGGCGCCCTAGAGATCTTTGGTACTTTCGCGATGAATCCCATTGTAACACTGTGATATGTTGTCCGTTTCATTTTGGCAAAAGTGCCCGTAAAAGAGCCCCCCAAGTTGTTGGGGGTCGCCTTGCTGGCTCCATATATCATTAAAGGATCTGAGTTGCCCGTCTTGGCAGTGTTGGTTGAGATATTGATGATTCTGCCTTCCTTCGGATTAAATAAGGCAAGAGCATGGTAGTAAGAGAGAGTGATGCGTAGACAAGAGCCTGCATCCCCCGCAAGAAGCCTCCGAGTGTCATCTTTTTGACCGAATCTGCCATGCTTGGGCCTCGCGTAGCGGTAGCATGGACAAGAATTTCGGTTGACGTTGTTCTGGGGTCTTGAAGAGCTTGTGTCATGACTTGAGGGCCAAACCTGGGATGGAGCAAGTCTACTTGTATAGCAGTTATATATGTCACGCCAAGCTTTCTGCACAAGTCTATGGTTAGCTGTGCCCGATCGCGGCTCGTAGCGAATCGGACAACAATCTTGCTGAAACCTTTGTGCACACAGTAGGTAGGGGGTGATATCCCGCCTTTACTACGCGAGGTCCTAATGACCATGGCTGTTTCCCCCGTGAGCGACCATGGTCGACTGGAAATTGGTGGCTGGGCTGTATTGTTGGGCTACGAATTTTATGTTGCTGAAGATGAAGGCTGACACCGAAACATCATGTGCAATATTCCAACATCACTGTCCCTCTTACAGAGAAACGGATAGTTACAGATTGTCCGAAGGTCTGCCAGCAGGGAGCACGGGTGAGCTTGATCGCGTACATCTCCACCGGCTTCACGGACTTTTGGCGTCGATCATGACATGTAAATAACTGAGGCATGAGGTTGGCTGGTGTGTTGTTTGTTTGTCATCAGAGATGGGGAGTGAGATGTAGCGCACCACATTTAATTCCCCTGCTCGAAATGCCATGGAGTTACGTAGCGCTTGAAAGTCTATTGGTGACATCAAAGTTGTGAAATGGCATAGGATTCCATGACACAGGATATTTGATGACCAAACTCTCTCGTGATTGCGCTCTGAAGTCTGCATCGAGGAGGGTCGTGTGAATAAGTAGTGAATATATAACAACACCTACGTCAGAGTAAGCTCTATAATTAATATTGTTCTTCGCGCGCCACCTCGTCATGATATCAATGGTAAGGTACGTGGTGCCACGGTGTTTCACACCTGGTGATTCTACACGCTCAATACTTCTAGGGCCACAACAGGAAGGTATCAAGAAATGACAGTCTACGCCGTGCGCCAGTACTAACATATGGACCAAAACTTATCATCCCAAAAAATTTCATGCTACTCCCCCCATGTTGAAGAGGCCCCGAGCAGTGCACACCCTAAGCGCATCATACACGGCCTGGCTCTCCGTCCGCCGAGCATGCTCGTCTTCTAACTTCTCCTGTGCTTGCAAAATCTCGGCCTTGGAGCGATCGAGCTTTTCAACCCGCGCTTGGCAGGCGCGCAACGCGGCGTCGGCCGCCTTGCAATCATCCGTGGCTTGTACGAGTGCCAGTTCCATAGAGCCTGCAAGCTCTTTCCGTGTCTTATCCGTCAGTCCGTGGTACTCTCCGACTAGGCGATCTCGTATCCCGCGCAAGGAGGCTACGTTCTGCTCCTGCGCCTCAAGTTCCGTCTGCGCTGCCGCTTGCTCGGCTGAAGTAATGGAAAGTCGGTCCCGAAGCTCCTCAACCGTCTCAGCTTCGGCATCACTAAACAGCTTCGCGAGATGACGAGTCTGCGCATCGATCTTCAGATCAAGGTCAGTGTTTTGCGACTCGATCGTTGTGACAACTATGGGTAGCCTGGCAGCGGCAGCGGCGATATGTCGGCCGAACACGGGATCAATGGTCGCCAGATAGGCACCAGTTGAACGGGTCGAGTCGCTGGCAACGCTATCGTTGGTGCCGTTCGTCTTCTCCCGTACTGGGGCTTGGGCTGACACGGGTATCGAAACCAGAGGTGAAGAAGACGGCACAGTTCCGGACTCACGGCGGCGGACCGGAGGTTTGGCGAACATTGGAGATGATGAAACGGCCGTGAGGCTGGGTTTGGCGCTTGAGAGACGTGGAGGGATTACGGCACCTGGGGTGCGCCCGGCTCTGTCAATGCGCTGGCGCTTGTTGCGACCGCTGGGCGTCTCTTCCTCGATGGCGTCCCTGCTGCTGCTGTTCCGACTGCGACGACCGGGTCTTCTCGGCGGCTCAAGGATCTCGTCCAGGTGCTCGATGCTCATCGAGACTTCGTCTTCATCCTCAGCGCCGGCTTGCTCGCGGAGAATCGCTGACTGACTGCGCACATTGCGCTCGGCGCTGGAACGCTGGCTGAGGGGTCTTGGGATGAGATGCTTGGCTTCATCCGACTCTTGCGACACCACGGCCATGATTGAGGGGGGTGTTTGTGGCTTGCTGAGCGGTAATGTGCTGGCGCGTTGAGAGTATGGCTGTCGTTGAATCGAGGAGAAGGCAAGGGCCTCAAATTCCAACTCGGCGTCACTGGCGTCGTCGTCGTCGTTGCGACCGAGAGAAAGGAGGCTCCTACCGCGTGGCCTATCATTCAAGCCACCGAGGTGTGAGCTCATGTCGTGCGTGGCGGATCTGGGTAAGGTGTTGCAAGCAATCAACAGATGCCTGAGAGGGGATGTAGCTCGGGCAATGAGGTCTAGCGAAGATGGTTTTTGAAACAATGACTCGAAGCACAATAAGATAGGGATGTTTAGAAGCGCCTATGCACCGTTTGCTTAGTCTTGGTGATTGGGATCGTGGCGATCATGAGGGTGGCCGTTTGATGACCTCGCCAGGCACGTTCTGCTGGCCTTCGGGGTGAAGATTCATGCCTAAAATTGCAGGACTGTGGCTGACTAAGCATACACACGCGTCGACCAGACAATTTACGCGCGACACCGCGAACTTTCGCGTACCCCTGTCACCAACGCCTGTCGTCCGTACCTAGGTACGGAGCATGAGCAACAAAGGCATGATCCATAATCGAATGTGTTCAGTCGTGAGTATCGAATCTATGGCAAGCTGGCGGCGCATCAATTATAAGGCCGAAATCGAGCAAACTGTTTTCCACCACTAAGCAAGATCACCTTGCTGCCCCATGAAGCAGACATTCGCCGTTGCGGATGTGGCTCCTGCCAACTTATCGACTCCACTCTGTCTCTCTAGCCAGTCTCTCAATGCCAACCAGCGCCTTGCAAAGTATGCTTGATTGGGGGGAATGGGGAAAGTGCTCCCCATCGGTAGCCCCCTCATCCCGGTGCTTGCGGCGACCTATGCGCGCTTCTTGTTGACTGCCGCAGCTTTGGGCATAGTAAGCGCTTGTTCTGAGAAAGGCAGAGGAGCTTCTCACTTACTCTCTTCATCAGCCATGTGGTTGCGCTTCTTGCTGGCTGGCCGGATTTCCCGACTGATAAGAGAGCTGTTGCTATCGAGAGCAGCCTGGGCCTCACTCTTGATACGGCCAAACACGTGTTGCATGGCCTTGGGCGTACGACCAGGAAGCTTGATTCTCGCCATGTCGATCTTTGCAGGAGGATTTTGGAGGATGATCTGGATGAGGAGTTGAACCTTGGGATACTGTGAGTATGTGCAGTTGCACCATTGGAGAAAATAAACTCATACCCGCTCTTTATCAGTCCAGCTACCGGACTTGGGAGTCTCCGAGGGAGTGTTGCTCGACATATTTAAATGACGTGAAGTGATTAGATGGGTTAATTATTGCTTATGAGAGTCCAATGGGAGTATTGAGTCGCTGAAGTTGAGGTAATATGGAAATGATGGCAAGACGCTCTGCTGAAGGTTCGGGAAGGGGATGGTTGGAAGGGGAAGAGAGGACCTAGAGTAATAACAAGTAGTGGCGTTATGGGGTTCCAGTTTTGGTGCTGCCTGGACAAGTACTTCAGGTTCAGCAGGGACTTAAAAGATCTTGAGAGTCCCGAGAGTAAGAGCAGTGGCACATTCTCCAGAGTATCACTTCACTGGTGGCTAAGGTATCTCGTGTTGATGAGAACTGCCGCCACTGTTGCCTACCTAGGTGTTCCTTTTGATTGGCGTATAATCCCAATCCACCTCTCAGATGATGATGGCTCTTGCCATACACCTACCTATTCTAAAACCCTTGACTGCACGACTGCGGCTCCAATACCACGACTCTGGGCTCTTTGCCGTTTTGTTGCCCATTCCCAACCCTTTGTCCAGTAAATTTTGGGTGCGTTCTTTTGTAACCCTCGAGACATTGAACAGTCCCTTACTCACGGCCTGCGTCTAGCACTTCATCATTGATTGTAACCCAACTCGGTCATTCACCCAATATGTGGCCTGGGGATGGGCCGTTGACGACCCTGACATCGACTCCTCCTTGCATGCCTCTATTTGCGAGTCGATTAGATCAGGTCCTTTCAGACAGAGTATAGTATCGAAGGCCGCAACCTAGCGATATAAATGGAAAAAGGCCAACTTACCAACAGAGCATCTCTTCTCGCAAATTCTTCGTGGCAAAGGCCGCAGGTGAAACGTTTCCCTTCACCATGTACATGCATGTGGCGCTTCCTATCATGCTTTCTTTGGAATTTGAGTCCACATATTGGGCAGCTGAACGGCCGCTGTGGAACTGGAGCCGGTGGCGGGACAGCTGGGGTAATGATTCCCCTTGATGAGGGACTCGGCGGTACATCTGGTGGACCCATCGACCCCACAGGCATAGCTAGATTGCGGTGCTGTGGGTTGTGGTTCGGATGTAAGCTTGGAAAACCGGGCGCATACTGGGCCAATGAGGGTATAATCCCATGTCCATTTCGGAAAGTATAGCTTGCATCAAGTCCTGGGTACTGTCGTTGCCCCTGCGTTGGAATTTGCGGGTATGCCCGAGCTTGCCGCTGGTATGGTACTTGGGACGGGAACGGGCCTGGCGTCTCTGTTAGCGGCTGCCTGAAGGCTAAATAGCTTTGATGCTGCTGCTGAAAGAAAAACCGAGCTTGGACATGGTACGGCGCTTGATGACGAGCAGGCGCTGGTACCTGCATCTGCTCCTGTGTAGGCGCCTGCGTCTGGGCCTGCGCCGACGCCAACATCGGTGGCTGGCGAGGTGTGGGAGGTCGGGCGTTGCTAATTTCACCTGCATTCGAGTATGTTTCTTGCCGGGGGATGTCCTGGAATGGCATGGAGGATGACCACTGTGCCATAGTACCGGCTATGAATCGAAACTAGAGTCGTTTGCGGCCAAGTCGTACAGTTCGGTATCAAGATAATCGACTTGCATAGTTGTGACGCCCATCTGCAAGATTTAAGACGAGAATCAACAGCCAGAAAATGCATTTATAGCTTGCGCATATGTGCGGGTCTTGTATGCTTTCGGAGACGCTGACAGCAAGGTGTAAACACTCTGGAACTTTAGATCCCACACACTGTTCTGGTCACAAGCTGCAAGAAAATTTTCACGATACAATTCTGAACCATCAGGGTCCAGGCATCGCTACGAAAACACGCAAAAGAGCCCGATCATGGGCCCGATCATGGGCCCGATCATGCAACATGTCTCTTTCCTGGATGCGAAAATGTTTTAAAATATCGATTTTAAGGCCTTGTTCCTCACGCAGAAGTGATGCCCCGAAGAATGCCCTTGTAAGCAGGCTTCTTGTTGTACTCATCGTCCCAGGCAAGCGCCGCACCTTCGCCGTCAAAGGTATAAGGGATCCAAGAGTACTTGTCCGAGATGCCCTACAGAGGTCAGCAAAAGTCATGACGGAGAGGCGAGACCAGACGCAACCTACCCAGAGGGTAACACCGATACACCGGTCGTTGGACATGCAAGAGGCGAGGACGCGCTCGTACTGGCGAGCCTGCTCCTCGAGCTTGGCGGGCGTGGCGGGGGTATTCATGCGGATGTCAATTTCAGTGTACTCGACATCCACCTCGAGGTCGGTGAACTGTCGGAGAGCACCTTCCAGGGTATTCTGGTCCGGAGTGGCCACAGATTGAGTGGGAGTCTCCTCAACGACAAGGTGGCCCTGAAGACCGACGCCGTCAATGCGTACGCCGTAGGACTGGACGAGCTTGACGATGCGAGCGGCAGCAGCCGTCTTGGCCTCGTTGTACTCGAGGTTGTAGTCGTTGTACCAAAGACGAGCGTGAGGGTCGGCCTTGGCGGCAAGGGCAAAGGCGATGGGGATGTAGGCCTCGCCGATGGTGTTGTAGAAGACACTCTTGCGATACGAGCCGTCTTCTTCGAGGGCTTCGTTGACCACGTCCCAGTGTCTGCACTTGCCCTTGTAACGGCCAGCGACGCCGTTGATGTGGTCCTCCATGATCTGGATGAGTGTGGCGTTGTCGAAGCCACCCTCGGAGACCCAAGGGGCGAGCTGGCTGTGCCACACGAGGGCGTGGCATCTCAGGTCCTTGCCGTGCTCGACGGCCCAGTTGACGTGGCGGTCGGCATCAGCCCACTCGAAGGCGCCGCGCGCAGGCTCGGTGTAGGCCCACTTGAGAGCATTCTCGGGGGTGACGGCGCCGATCTCGAGGTCGCTCTCGAGGATTGCGTTCTCGAGGGGCTCATCGCGAAGCGTCAGGGCCGAGCCGACGTGCTCCTTGCCCTGGGCACGAATGGCCGCATTGAGGCCGGTGCACTTGGGCTTGGCAGCCGCGAGGCCAGCAAGACCGAGGGTGAGGAGGGAGAAGCGCATGGTGGGGGAGAGGGGCAGGTATGGGGGGCGATGATGCGAGGCAAGTCGAGTCGGTGCTCAGACTCTAGGATAGAACTTGCCACGATGAGCAGGAGGTGTCCTCTTTGTAGGCCCGGCCTTGCCTTGGTCTTGCGGGGCTCTCTCGACACCGACAGACATCAGGCTGTAATGTTGCCATCGGCTGGTACCGAGAGATTGCCCCTGCGCATGCAGCCAGGTCGCTGCCCAGCGTGGGATAAAGTCGAGGTCGGGGCACATTGCTGAATCTGGGGATGGCGATGGGGTCGATGGAGTCGATGGAGAGGGGACAAGTCCGCTTGGCGTTGGGGATTTTCTGCGCCGGCGTCCGGGTGAATGCAGTTGGCTAATATGGGGTAGTCTGGGGGCGATGTCACACTGCCGGGCCCGCTCCTCAATTAGCCATGCCACCTCCATTTAGGCAATACGCGGCCCCTGAGAATGGTGATGTTGCTAGGTCACGAGAGAAGCTGTGTGGTTGGTCTCCGACTCCGTTGAGACCCAGTCGAGCGGTCGGGCTCCCACACTGCCCCTGGCGCCTTCTCCGCACGAGAGATGAGAGACGCATTATTTGTTTGTTCCTGCTTGTTGACCTCGGCTCTCCCACATTGTCGTCATGAAGTGCGGGCAGGAATTGCAAGTCCGCATAACATTCATTACCAAATCTACGCCCAACGCCAATACCATCCAGATCTAGGAAGTCTACACGCCTCCAACGCCATTCAAGAACACGCCTCCAATATCCTTCCTCCGAAACAAACGCGGTAGACATCACTCCTCCTTGTGAATCTCGATGCCAGCTGGAGCCCCCACCAGTGCCTTGCACTGCGCGTAAATAACAAACTGGCCAGCGACGAGGCCGCACGTCATGAACACCCTTGGCCCCAGTCCCGTCAACAGCAGCCTCTTCGGGCCAAACTCCTTGGCGAGTTGGAACATGCGGCTCGTGGCGCTCTGCTTGGGGTCGCCGGCTCCTTTGTTCATGGCAGAGAGCAGTGTGTCGGCTGGGTGAGATAGCACAGCGGCGGCCACACCAGCGACTATGCCCGACGACAACTCAACGCCCGTGTTTTGCAGATGCGTTAGCTTCTCCTTGCGTTCCGAGCCGATGGTGCGGTAGATGGCCTCGACAGCAGCCTCGTGCACGGAGAACTGGCCCACGGCGTAGGGCACCTGCTTGAATAGCAGCGGCACGAAGCCCGAGTAGAACCCCTTGAACCCTTCCTCTCGCGCGAGTCTCGCGAACCCGGAAGTCAACCCGTTGGCGTAGCCGCGCTGCGAGACGAGGCGGATGCGCGTGGCCTCTAGGGGGCACAAGAGGATATCGGCGAAGAACTCGGCTGCCGCGCTGGCACCAAGGTAGATGGCCGTGCGCTTCTCTGTCGCCTGGCTGGGCCCGCCGGCCGCCGAGATGAACTGCTTCTTGAAGAACTCATAGCCGGCGAACTTGCCTCCACCCTGTACGAGGTATCCGACGGCTGTAGGACCGAAGCCCGTCAACAACGCCGAGGCGCCTTCCTTCGCGACAATGGTTCGTCCCGCTCGCACCATGTTGTAGCCCTTGAGCGCGTCATCGACCTGGATTCGCGTTTTGACGACATCGATTGGCGTGGCAGCCTGGTACATTTAGCTTCAGCTGGGGGGCAGAGAGAGAAAGCAGGAAACATACGCCATGGGTAGAGGTGGCTGCGAGGGCACCAGCTCCGAAGAACTTGACATAGTCGCCAATGGTGAAAGTCGGCAGCTCGTCCTTAGTCGCCATCGTGTCGTGTTCGTTAGAGGAAAAGAGGACTGGGTCAAAGTAGGAGGCTTTCGCGCAAAGTTGCAAGAATGCAAATAATAACGAGGCAGCGTTATCTACGATGGTGTGTGAGAGCAGCCTGGAGCGAGAGCTTTGCTTGCTTCCAAGAAGAAGAAGAATAAGAAGCTTGACAAGGGTTTATCCTCAATTGATGATGCAAACCGCCAGTGACGTCACATGTCCGATGGCCGAGCAGCCCGTATGCGAGGTCCCGCCAGAGCCCGCTGGACACCCACTAAAAGCTCCCTCTGAACTGTTTGCTATTCCCGGGGGCCGGGTCGGCTGGCCTGACACGTTCTCCTCAACAGCATGTGCCTATGTTGTCAGTGAGGGCATTCCCACTGTTGGTGCCGTCTATCCGGTATCCCTCCGACGGCGTCCCATAGCTTTACCTTCGTAAAACCCGCCATCCACGCCATCTCGGGATGCGCGGGCGCTTGGGGATCGACTCGGCAATTGAGCTGCCGCATCAAGAAACAAATCTGCTGGAAATCGTACTCTGGCGTCATCCTCCCCACCTTTCTTCAACTCACACCTCTCCGTCGGACATCGCGACGAACAGTCTGCCATGAAGCCCGACACCGACGTAGGCACAGACAAACCGTACATGTGCTTCTCAAGTACAAGCATTTCCAGAGGCTGACGCTGGTTCCATTTGTCTCAAGAAGGCACCCCAAGACTTCACAGGGCCCGTTTTGGAAGCCCTCGCCAGAATGTTTGACCCCTCATGATAATCCAACACACTACGTTCAAAGGACTCCACCTGGCAATGAGCTACACTGGAACCTGTCGATTCTCTTGATCACTGTACAGACCAGCTTCTGGCAAGCGCCTAAATGTTCATCTCGGCCACTCCCTTCACCCCTATTGAACATTGCATAAATAACCGCTCGAGAGGTCTCATGACACATTGTTGGTGATGGACTGGGGAGTGTGTGGCTCAGATGGCCTATGGCTGGCCCAATAAACAACAGCAATTGTCGCACCCACCGCTTGACTCGATTGGTCTTTAATCATCGTGATCATTCTGTCTGTCTTTTTGTTGGTTGTTTACTCCTGTTGATTGAAGAGCGAGCCCAGCTCAAGCTCACAGCAAACTCTCAAAGGCAGGTCATCATCTCATGTGAAGCTCTTAGACTACCAAGCGTGTTGTTCACCCGCAGTGAACAGTGATGCGTACCTATGATAAAGATACCCTGCACACCCAGATGATGGCCGTTGTCGAAGATCACACCATATCCAGCAGAACTAATGTGCGCCATGAAATCACAGGTCTACATTGATGAGTTTGAGTATCGGCATCATTAGGCATAACTACTGCGCGCCCGAGACTTCATCGCATTCAAGGACGAGCGCCGTATCTGGACGGATAGTTGATAATATCACAGGAAAAGTCAGTACCAACCTCGCGCATACTTAGAGATTGATATATGACCCTATCTTCAACTCTCCAGCACACTGGACGCTCACCTTAGGGCCTTTCAGCTCACCAGCTGATCATGCATCCCGATTCGTCCGCCGTCCGTCCGGTGCCCGCTTCCCGGTGTCCGCTTCCCGGTGCCCAGTCTCCAGTGCCCGTTTCCGGTTCTTTCTATGGAGTCCCGGTCCGGGGCCCGCCTGTCATCTTGATCCCCGTCCTGCGGTCGTCCTGGGAACCTTCTTCGATCTTGATATCACCCTTGCAAACGGGAAGTCACTCAATCCTTCCTGTCTCTATCTCTCTCAAAGCCTTCCTCTGTTCTCGTCTCCTCCTTCGTCATTTTCACCTCCCCGCGACCTTGACCATGGCTTCTGCGGCAGCTCCTGCTGCCACTGGAGACTCGATCGAGCTTCCCATTGTGGACAACGACCAGAACTTCATCATCCGGGAGTGCAGCAACGCGATTGCAAAGCTCATCGTTCTTTCTAAGAGGCAGCAAGCGCCTACCGATGAGGTTCGCCGAGTTATTCTCTTCTTCAACTGGCTGGAGACTCGGACTTGGGGACCGTATCACGTTACAGCAGATATCAAGAAGAAGCTCATCAATAGTCTTGCCGCCATCAACAACAATAGCCGTCCTGAAGGCCTGCTATACTTCACACCCGAGATTCGGACTCGGGCCGAGGCTCTCCATACACGCTGGACAGCTACCAACGTCGAAGACGGGATCGTTGCCGCTGGTTCTGACAACGGCGGCGATGATGGTGGTAGCGGCACCGAGGTTATCGTAGCCTCTTCGACCAGGAACCGTACCTCTGCGACCTCCAACACCGAGACCCTGCGTTTGCCCCATCGCGCCCATCCCATCTTTGGTCGAAATGGCATCATGCATGGCCTCTTCATTACTGGTTCAAAGCGCAAAACATACGGAATCAACCCTATCTACAAGAACGAACAGCGTGACTCCTCCCCAATCGGCGACAACGGGCTCACCGCCGGCGACTGGTGGCCTCTTCAATCGGCGGCCGTTTTCAACGGCGCTCACGGCTCGTGGTCCGGCGGTATTGCGGGCAAAAAGGAGGGCGGTGCCGTCTCGATCGTCACCTCGGGCCATTACGAGGACCTTGACCGAGACGACGGGGACACTCTTTTTTACTCGGGCTCTGGTAGCCACGACAACACGGACCCCAACGTCGTCAAGGATACCAGCGGAACCCAGCTGATGCGTACGGCCCAGAACAAGGGTAACCACATTCGCGTACTGAGGTCGTCCTCGGGCGGCGGCGGTTCATGGTGCCCTTCCATCGGCATTCGCTACGACGGCCTTTATAATATTGTCGGCAGACGAACTCTCAAGAACAGGCTGGGCGGAGTGTACGAACAGTTTGAACTCCACCGCCTGCCCGGGCAGCAAACTCTCAACACTATTCGGCGTCAAATTCCGACAGGCCAACAGAAGCGTCTGTATGAGGAGATGAAGAACGGTTACTAGGGGCTGTCGGGAAATGTCTTGCGAGGCTGTCACTGAATCAAGGGACTTCGAATGGCATGGCTATGGAATGGTTTCGTATTTTGGTCTTTTTTCCAAGGTTATTGTCGTTACGGGTCTCATTCTCTGGGTGAACTATAGGAATCTTGACTTGTTCGTCCTCAGTCAGCATCAATGATCAAAATCGTTCGGTTATGTACTGGCACACTACGGCGCTTCGAACTGTGACTCGCAATGAGCTCCCATGCCAGCATTAGCCCAACTCGTGGAGACCAGAGTTGATCAGCGAAAGAACAACAGTCTCCTCTGGACACTAAGTAGGTTGTACCGCTACTTGTGGCTGCGAACCCCTGAAACTTAAAGGCACCTTGAGTAGGTAGGGAAGAGGTGATGTTGAAATTTACGGGAGTTCTGCTCGCGATTTGGACACAGTGTTGGTCGTTATCAGAAGTTGTAAAAACCCGATATATCAATCACGTATGCACGTGCGACAAGACTCCCTCTTGACCGACAAGTGACGAGCGACTCATACAAAGCAAGCATTGGGTGTCAATGAGCATCTCGAATAGAAGGATTCACAGTGCGATCCGTTCCTTCCTTACGGTGCAATGACCCCACGATAAGGAAGGCGGTGGGCGATAAAGGGAGCCTGGCGGCTCGGCAGAAAGACACTTGTTCAATCTTGGGAACATGCCCTCGAGGACAGCGAAGCAGCCAAGTAGGACTCCAGCTTCCATACACCTCGACTTTACGCCTGTTCAATATTCGCAGCCATGGTATGCTACCCAGTTGATAACTCCACGGAATTCTCGCTGATGCTTCCAGAACGTCACCTACAACTCTTCGCTTCGACAGAGCAAGGCACTCCGTGCCGACATCGACCGCCTGTCAACGGCAACCCAGGACCGAGTACTTACACCAGCCGAGATTGGCAGCCTCTCTGCCTCGCTTTCGTCCTTCTCCAAGACGGTCGATGAATATAATGGTCTGGCACGCCAGGAGCTTGTGCCAAAAAAACAAGAGGAGGCACTTGAGCGAGTCAAGCGATTCAAGGGGGATCTGACAGACTTTCGATCGCGCATCGACACCCTGAAGAGACAGCGCGAAGATGCCGCCCACCAAAATAATCGAGCCGAGCTCCTTGGTCGGCGTCCGTACTCTGACGCTACGCCAGAGAACCCCTACGCCAACAACAGCACCGCAAAGCCATCCTCATCCTTGCACGCGAGGGGTGCTTCGATCGGCGGTGCTGAAAGGGGCGCAGGCGGAGGGGGCTACGGCATGGGCAGCGGCGAGCCGTCCCGAGAGCAGCACGCCTTTCGGGAGCAAACGTTCTTCGCCAATACGAACAACGCACTTGATGAGTACATTGCCCGCGGGCAGGCTGTGCTGGGAGATCTCGGGGCTCAGAGGGACATGCTCAAGAACACACAAAAGAAGCTCTATTCAGTGGGCAACACGCTGGGCATATCCGGCGACACAATCCGCATGATCGAGCGCCGGGCGCGGGAAGACAAGTGGATATTCTGGGCGGGCGTCATAATCTTCTTCGTTTTTTGTTGGCTCTGCCTGCATTTCCTTAGGTGATGGCTGCTCTTTTGCTTTCGACGGCATGGGCAGCGAGGCGCACGGCGTTTGAAGGCAGGCTTTTTCTCGATACAATACCATTGCGACTCTGAAGTCAGCGCCCTACTCCGTCCCCGCAAGTGCAATGGTGAAGATGACCTGATTCGTCGTCTCGACTATTACTGTCTTGGTCTCTGGCAGCACGTGATTGCTGGTGCTGATGCGACCGCCAAGATGTGTCTCCCAGTTCTCAACATCCCATTCAAGGCCATGAGTCGTGATGACACTGGGTTCGCCGAGAGGCACAATACCGACATGCTTTGCAAACACGTCGCCGCCGCCGCCGTCACGGACGTGGATCGCATGCTTGCCGGGCTTCAACAGGAACGTCAGGCTCTGGCCCGACAAGAGGAAGACTCGGCCCTGTTCGTAACGGGGTCCCGGCTGGAAGAGATACAGGTGATGGAGTTGGCTGATGCCTTGGTCAACGCGGCCACCTAGACCACCGAGCGCTACTATATCGACGTTCGCGCCGTTCTTTGACCGGGCCCAAGAGACAGCCTTGGTAAAATCCGTGGATTCTTGATCGCTGTCGTGAATAATTTCCGCCGGCTCATCTTGGAATGCATAGTGGTTGCGGACATTCGGTAGAAGGGAATCTAGATCGCCGATGATGGCATCGAGATTGTTCTGGCTATATTAGTATGAGGAGGAGTTTCTAGGTCTCAAAAACCAACATATCGTCTTGTAGCATTCTGCCCATCCAAGTCAAATAGACGGTTCGCCCCGCCATCAGCCGCTATGCGCACGAGTGCTTCATCACGTTAGTACTGGACTGCAGAAGTTTTACATTGAAGTACCATTTTCCCACAACGTTCCGAAAGCCTGATTCTGTCTGAGGGGTTGGTTGAGAATGACGAGCGAAAATGGCGCCCGTGGCTGTGAGTCTGGTGTTTGTCTAAAGAGCACTGTTGGGTGCCACTCAAAGTCTTCTGACATCTTGAGTGAAGAAGGGCAATGCGGATGCTACGTATGGCGACACACAAGGAAAGGATGTACTCAACCGAGGTCATCCACTCGCCGCGTCAGGTACGTTAAATATAAACTCGACCGCGATCTTACCTCTTGTCTAGGTATAGTAGCAGCTAATTAGTGAAATGCCGATACTGAGCGTATTCTCGCAAGGTCTGCCCCACCACCTTAACCTTGCGAAGGTAGCTCACACTTGCGCCGGTTAAACATCGGCTAACACATAGAGCTGGGATTTTCTTTCCCCGAGCCATCTATCAATGATGATTACCAACCGTGGACCTCCTTGGCTATCCTTCGATCCGTACCTGCGAGAATCGAGAGTTTCCCTTGACGTCTCCTTACCCGACATTCATTTCGAAAGCTTGCGCAATGTATCGTCACACCGTCCGATCAGCAACTCGCGCTGCCAGCGCCCTCCGCCAGACGACTCTGCGGTCTACGCCACGCCGATTTGCATCCACAGCTCCCGCCGACAAGCCACGGACATGGAAGGGCAGCGCCTTGCGCTGGGGTTTAGCTGGTGCCGCCGTCTACTACTACAACACGAGTCCCATCTTTGCCGATGAGCCGGCGCGTATGCAACCCAGTCTCCCATAGGCCTTTGGCCCTGCTAACAGAGGAATAGCTCGCACGATACCGGCACCTTCAGATTTTGCCGCTTCGGATCTCAAGACGGTTGACGCCGTGATCGAGGAGAAGCGCCAGAAGACAATTGTTCAGCCCAAGGAGGCTGCCCCCGCCGCGACTTCCGCGGCTCCCATTTCGTCAAGCGAGACTGCCTCCGAACAGTTGACAGCTGCACCCGGGTCTCCTGAGGCGCTCGAGCAAGAGGCTGGCCAGCAGGGCGCCTTCAACCCCGAAACGGGCGAGATCAACTGGGACTGCCCCTGTCTTGGAGGCATGGCCGATGGGCCCTGCGGCGAGGACTTCAAGGCAGCATTTAGCTGCTTCGTATATTCGACCGAGGAGCCCAAGGGAATCGACTGCATCGAGAAGTTCCAGTGAGTGAACTACATGGATCGAGGGAGATTCAAACTAATAGATGAATAGGGGCATGCAGGACTGCTTCAAGAAGTATCCCGAAATCTACGATCCCGAACTTTCCGACGACCGCGAAGACGAGCCTGTGGCCGATGGCAACGCTGGCGCCTCGCACGAGCCTAAGCTTGCTGCCCAGGACCACATGACCGAGACTATTGCTGCCAAGGTCAATGATGCTGTTGAGCAGACGACCGAGAAGGCCGGAGAAGTTGCTGAGAAGACTAAGGCTAAGGTTGCCGACGTGAAGGAGAAGGTCATCGAGAAGGCCACCGAGGCCAAGGACAAGGTGTCCACAAAGTCCAAGCCGACCCGGATCCAGTCTGCAGATGACACCGACCCAAAGCAGGCCGACGAGGCTATCGAGGCTGACATCAAGCCCGCCTTTTCTGATGCGACGGCGGCCAACGACGAGGCTGCAAAGCTGTGAGACGAGTATGTATGATGGGGACTAGGACACGGAAAAACAATGCATTATACTGCGGGGAGCCTGGACATAATGTATTATATGTACAGTCTTGTACAACTGTAACACAAGCAACAAGCCACGATAGACAACACCTTTCGACACCTTAAGTCTTCAACCCTCTGAACAGACTATTCGGTCTCGATCCGCTTTTTGCAAAGTGATACAGAATGATGACTGCTAAGGAAGGTCTGGGCTTCAATATGGAGCACTACGATGAAGCACTTGCCGTCGTTGAAATCTGTCTATCAATTCCATATGAACTGAAGTACCTCAATCATGAGAGACAACAGGGGCTATTCCGCGGATGCAATGCCCCGTCGCCCCACCTGATTGGCCCACCCAGCTCGCCAAGCTGCACGAGCCGCAGACGTCATCACATGTGCCCAAAAGCAGCAAGTTGGCAGCAGCCAGTCGCACCACACCAACCTACGTCGTGTCCCGGTTTTCCCCTTCACGTGGGAGCTCTTGTGATCTTCATCCTCAATCACATCACCATCACTCTCAACTGTCACCTACCGCGCCACTCCTCTGCAATACCGAAACACCCTCCAGCCATCTCCCGATATCCAGCTGCTCAAGAGTATGTGTTGGTGTCCAACGCCGTGGTCAACCATTTACTGACGACACCACAGTGTCCGGATCTGAATCGTGGGCCGACGTCGCCTCCAAGGGCCCCCAGCAGACCGCCGAAGAGGTAAGTCGCGTGATATACCTGCGTTCGCCGTTCGTCTGGTCCAAGCACTGACATTTCAGGCCCGCGCGCCCCCTCCCGTCGAGGTCCAGACCGACGCCGAGACGTCGACCTCGTCCCTCGTCGACGTCGACAGCGAGTCCGTCCGCACTGTCCCCTCCGATTACCTCCAGCAGGAGGTGCAGACCGAGACGCAGGCCGATCGTATCGATCGCGAGGAGAAGGCTCGTGCCGAGGCCGAGCTCGCCAAGAAGAAGGCCGCTCACAAGGCCCGCCGTGCCGACAGCTGGCTGACGCGGCAGTTCTCCTCCCTCAGCGACGGCAGCGCTGGCGCCCTCGCCATTGTCAACCTCGTCGGCGTCGTTGGCCTCAGTGGCTTCCTTGGCTACCGCGCCTGGGGTCTGTACGAGCGCGGTCGCCTGAGCTGGCAGAACGTGGGCGTCGGCCTGGGCGTCCTGGGTGTGGTTGGCGTCGTTGAGGGCATTTTCGGAGGGTGAGTAACCCGATTCCGTATCATTGCGTGCCTAACCGTGCTGACCCTCGTAGCTACCTCTACAAGACGAAGGGTAAGAAATAGACGAAGCACGTCCGCGATTGGTGGCATAATACAGGGTCCTTCCAAGAGAAGCCGAGCGAAGTGTAGCCTCATGCGACCCGAGACTGAGATGAGCGTCTGAAAGCAGTAGGTTGCCATTGATATTGGTGTCAAAGGGCACAGTAAAGCGACAAATGGCACTCTTCTCAGTTTGGTGACGCTTGACGTAATTTGGAGCCTGGGTGGCAGGTGCTTTCTACTCGGTCAATTGTTTGGGATTTCGGTGTACACTAGGTGTTCAGGACAATTCACGTCTTTCCGATTACATTCCTGTGGACTACTGCTTCTGGTCAAAACGACAAGAGGGGAGAGGGCTGAAAAGACAAATCGTGAAATTCATTGACACGAAGCCACTGATGAAAAGCCTCAGCGACAGAGTCCTGCTATCTGTCTGTCCCCCTCTCCACCCCTCTCTGCCTCTTCTCTCTCTCTCTCTCTCTCTCTCTCCATCTCCAAGAAGATTCCAACAACCGCTGATCTGCTACTATATAGTTCAGCACTTTGGCTACCGAGAAAAAAAAAGAGTCGAACGCCCATACGCCTGCCGCGCCCGACCGAGATAATCCTTACATCCCCGAAGACCTGCCCAATACAATCACCTCGCTGGCGACACCCTCCCGCACTCGCACTTCCACTGGCACCAGCAAACTTGCGCTCCCCGTGAAGCAAACGGCCTTCCCCTGGGTCTAGGTCACCCGGTTGTTGTGCACCTCGCGCAGGCGCTTGACCCAGTGCTTCCGCAACGTAGCGGGCATCTTGCAGAAAACCATGGCCTTGTTCTCGTCGGCGAGGGCCTTCTCGGCAATCTTAAGCTGAAGGTCCATGTCTTCGTCGGCAAAGTCGCGGAAGAAGATGTCCATGGCCTGCTCGGGCCAGCGCGGCGGTGAGCGGGCCTTGAGCGCCTCGGCGATGCGCAGCAGGCCATCCTCCATGAGCTGCTTTCCGGCAGCTGCCATGGAGGCAGTGATGGCGTCGCTCTGCGTCGTGAAGGCCGGGGCCGGGGCCGAGGCGGCATTCGCGGAGCTTCCTGGTGTTGAGACGCTGGCGCTGGAATAACTCGAGATGCGACGTCGCTTCTCGGGGGGCTGGCCGGTGCCGATCGTCGTGGGTGGGCCCATGGGAGCTGCCGGAGCCTTGTTGGCTTCGCCGGCGGGTGGTTGTTGGGCTGCGTGGTTGCCGGGGAATCTCCTACGACCAACAGCCGTCTCTTCAGGTGGTGTGAGGGCGCTGGTTCCCGCAATGTGGTTACGAGGGGGGATGGCGGTGGATGTCGGACGTTGCGCTTGCTGCTGCGCTTGCTGCTGAGCTTGCTGCTGTTGTTGGGCTTGCTGTTGGGCCTGTTGCTGCTGCTGCTGCTGGGGCATGGACATTTGATGATGGACGACAGGGGACGGCTGGCCCATCGACGATCGAGGCTGCTGGGGCATGGCGGGTTGCGAGGGAGGGCGATATGGCGAGTCGACTTGCAAGTCGAGCACGCCGGTGCCGGGCATCTCGATGCCATCGTCGGGACCCTGGATGACGTCTGGGCCTTTCCGCTTGGGCTTCATGATGCGCTTCGGTGCGCCGCCCGATCCAATGACGTCGGGGTATAAAATCTCCATAAACTCCTCGTGCTCAAATGAGCGCCCGCGCAAAGCGCGCGACAGAGGCTCTTTCTGGATGGCGAGTCAGCGACAACTCCAACCGAAAAACCTCAAAACATAACCGAAAAACAGAAAAAAAAAATCAAAACACAGTGCACCGCGACTCACCTCGATATGTGACCTCCAGGCTTCCTCGGTCGCCGTGACAGTTCGCGTATTAGGATTGTATAGGAACTCGGGGTCTTCGCGCAAGCCTCTCCATAGACGAAACTTCTTCCGCGCGTTATCGGACTTGTTGACAAGGTGATTCTTAGTCGGATAGGCGGCGTGCTTCTCCTGCAGAGCGGCGGCAGCGCGATCCCAGGCCTCCGCCTTGAAGCTGTGATTCTCGCGCAGGCCGAGCTGGACAGCCTCGCAGAGGGCGCGAAAGAAGGTAGCCTCGTAGGCTGGGGTCCAGCTGAAGCGCGGAGCACGCTTGTCGCGATCGGACGAGGCGGCTAGGCCGGACGGACCATCGATGGAAAACTCGTCGTCCGACATGACGGGGCGAGGGAGCACCGGGCGAGGCGCGATGCCGGTATAGAGTGCCGGCGAAGGGCGGACGG